GCATGTATTCAATATAGTGGCCTTCTGTAGTGTGATGTATGTATTTCTACTCAATTGTAATGTTCCCAGGCTTTTGTGTAGCGTGTGTGGTATCACACCTGTACAGGAGAGAACGACAGGTACAATAAGCACCCTATCCATCCTCCACAGATGCCTTATTTCCTGGGCGAGTTCTGTGTACTTGCTAATTTTTTCAGTGCATGTGTTTTGTACATTGTGAGTGTTTGGAATGGCTATGTCTATAATGTATGTGATTTTATTGTGTTTGTCAATGAGTGTGATGTCTGGTCTGTTGTGGTAAATTGTTTTATCTGTGATTATGGCTCTGTCGTAATACATTTTGTGCATGTTATTTTCCAGTACTGTCTGTGGAATATACTTGTAGTATGGTTCGTGGATGTCTGCCATTTTGTGTTTCTTTGCAAGCTCTTGGTGTATTATATTTGCTACTTGATTGTGTCTATGTAAGTAATCTGTCTGTGCCAAGAGCTTGCAACCAGAAGTGATGTGTTGTATAGTTATTATTATTATTATTATTATTATTATTACATACTGAAAAAATCCCATTAATTTAAATTGTTGTTTTGATTAATTAAAATATTTAATTTGTTTGTTATTGTGTTAAATAATTATTTAGCTTAATAAAAACAAATCGTTTAAATTTTTTTTTTTTGGCTTTTTTCTTTTTAACTTCCATTGCTTGTATCTTTCTTTTATTTTCTTCTCTTTAAATTTTTTTTTTTTGGCTTTTTTCTTTTTAACTTCCATTGCTTGTATCTTTCTTTTATTTTCTTCTCTTGCCATTGATATTGCTTCTGGAATGCGTAAAGACGAGGAAGGGTCATCTTTCGTGAATTTATTTATATTTTTCTTCCAATTGAAGCGCTAGTTTACATAGATCAGCTGTAGAAAGATCAAAGAAACATGATTCTAAAGTAAGAACATGTTTAACTAACTCTTTCTTCATTCGTTCAGTCAGATTTTTAGGTCTTCCGAATTTGATTTTCTTATTTAATCCTCGAAGATGACTTCTTAGAGTTGGTTTAGGGATTTTATATTATTTGCGTGCTTCATTAAATTCAATATCACCACTGCATAATTTGCTTAACGTCTCGTCATGTTTGACATGTTTATACGGTCTATAATAAAAAAAAAAACAAATGAAAATCAAAGCAATACAGTCGATCCCCTATAACACTGTTGATTATTCCGTTTTATATGANAAAATGGAACATTACATCAAGAATCGATGTTATAAATAACTTAATATCATCTTTTACATTAATAATATTATTAATTCATATTAAGCAACCGATTTAGTTTAGATGTAGATAACCTTTTAGTTGATAGCATCCTGCATTCAAGGCTGATCATATAGAAGAGATACATCATGGCTTCTGTAACTATCCAAAATAATG